CTAAAAGTGCACGATGTAACTTTTTGGCTGGGGGTCAATCATCTGCTTGTTTCTATGGATATGTCATTGCTCTAGCTGGAATGTTCCACAGTATGACATTAAACCAGGGGTTATCAAACTAAGGACTGACTCTGGCCCTCCACGCCTCTTTGACCGGCCCCCCAGCCCCTCTGCCCCCCAACACTTGAACTGACCCTATGAGGCGATCCTTAAAAATTGTCATGGCCTATTTTTTAAATTACTTTTTGGCAAATAATAACACATCTGCATCTTGTATTTTATTGATTTTTTTCAATTAAAAAATTATGAAAATGAAGTATTTATATTTAAATAATTATATTTAAATAATTATATGCCAAGTTTGCCACAGAATTTTCGTCACCTGACAAGCTCGAGATCAAACTGTGACAGTCGATGCACATGCAGAGTTCTGTAGTGCCGTTAAGGACAGCAAAATGACAAGTGTTAAAGTACAAAAAGTTGACAGAGATTGCCGAGTTTTCAAAGAATAGTGGACGACCAATTATTTTTTTGTTCAGTGTAAGGACCGTGCAGTTTGTCTGATATGTAAAGAAAGTGTGGAGGTTTTCAAATATAATGTGCGTTGTCACTACGAAACCCACCACAAAGAGTATGCTAGCTTGTGAGAGCAAATGAGAGAAGATAGGATTCGGCGGATGAAAGCTGGACTGACTGCTCAACAGCATGTATTTTAGGAGAAATAATGTGGCTCCCAGAGAAAAAAGTTTGGTGACCCCAGCTCTAACTTACATTTATTTAATGGTGGTCAAAAATACCTAGAAAAACTGGCATTCTGACTGTGAGCGGGGTTGCCTCTCTACAGATCTGACCCATAACTTGACCCAACACTCAGCCGTTGTTCAGTTCTGGTTTAGTCCTGGTTTAGTCCTGGTGTAGTCCTGGCTTAGTCCTCTTTTAGTCCTGTTTTAGTCCTAGTTCAGTCCTGGTTTAGTCCTCCTGGTTCAGTCCTGGATCAGTCCTGGATCAGTTAGTTCCTGGTTTAGTCCTCCTGGTTCAGTCCTGGTTTAGTCCTCCTGGTTCAGTCCTGGGATCAGTTCTGGTTTAGTCCTCCTGGTTAGTCCTGGTTTAGTCCTCCTGGTTCAGTCCTGGGATCAGTTCTGGTTTAGTCCTCCTGGTTCAGTCCTGGTTTAGTCCTCCTGGTTAGTCCTGGGTTCAGTCCTGGGATCAGTTCTGGTTTATTCCTCCTGGTTCAGTCCTGGGATCAGTCCTGGTTCAGTCCTGGGATCAGTCCTGGTTTAGTCCACGTGTGTCGCACCTCCCCAGTGACTCTTTGGTGCCTCACCTATTGAAAACCACTGATCTGGTCGTTCAATAAGCAAAACTATATCGTCTCCTTCAATTTCAGCCACAACATTCATACATTTTTACATATTTACAGTTCAGGCCTTCAGTGTCAGCCCTTCCAACAGAAAAGTTGCACGGTGCCCCTTTAAAAGTTCCTAAATAAGCGTTTTTGTGATCTCATCTATTCCCCACTAAAATCACTGCGCTGTGAACCCACCAAGCCATTTTACACAAATTACCTGGCTTCCTCACAATCGATTGAACATTGTAAGTACCTGTGCATGTGTGATTGTGAATTAGCATTGACGCTAGCATGCACAGGCTTCCCCATGCATGACCGGGGCTCTCTCCGCTAGCGTTAATTACATCATTATGCCGGGGATGGATCTCCGTCTGTTCGGCCATTACTCCTGCCCCATCCTGGCGCATACCACACTAAGCCCCAGATTTGTACCCGCATGCGTTAAATGACTCCGCTAAATTATGAAACGATTAGATACGGGGGGCTATTTTCGAACATATGTAGACTAGGGGAGGGAAAGGGTGTTGTACAGAGTTAGATGAGGCTAGAAGAAATAGAAATGTGAAATATGGGAGATTTAACGTCAGCAGATTTTGAAAAATGAAAGTGGATGAACGCGAGAATGATGTAGTGGACCAAGTTTAACTTTGGCTGGCTGCGGTCTCCGTGTACTTGTTCAGCTATTGTTAGAAGTTGATAAGATTTTTATGAAGCGTGATGGGACAGTGATGGATTTCACCATGGATCATACGGACAGATTATAGGGAAATGGAGATGAGGGGTTCTTTTTATATAGTGGACATTAAAGGCTCATATGTAGGGCTATTTTAAAATTTTGTCCAAAAACAGTCAAAGATTGATAAGAGCTGCCAAACATTTAGTTGAAGGTTAAAGTATTGCAATTTGAAGATTCATTAGATGTTCTTTCATGCTTCAAAAACCACTTGTCCTTGTGACCATGTAATACTTTTATTATTAGAAATAGTGTTTCCAAAAAAGAATACCCAGATTAGAGATCGGCTAATATGTTTTATTTTTTGTTTTTTGTTTTTCCTGGGCAATGTCGGTACTAGTTTTCATCATCATGTCATTGATATTGTTTCCCAAAGACTGGATTGTGACCCTCAGGTGGGTCACAAGAGATTTTTTTTGGGTCACCTTGTCACGATCTGCATGTAGATCTGCAATGTACACATACATACATCTTCGCGCACCCCTCACTCCTCACTTTTTCAGCCGCACCGCCTTGCCTAACCAATTTTGTATGGGAAATACTGATTACTGTTTTGCCTTGTTTAAAATTTGAGTACCGTACTTTTTGGAATTTCATATTTCCAATCATCACGCAATGCATACTGGGAAGGATTATCTGAAAAAGTGAGCATCAAACCGCCGTATTTGGTTTCCCAATGGGAGGCGTCTGTTGACAAAGTCTTTTCTAGTCTTTTGAACCATATCGCTTTTGTTTCTGGTTCTGATATTGTCATATTTTAGTTATGGGATTTGGACATTGTAGTTGTGTGGTTGTTGGATGTCCTAACAACGGAAAACGGGCTTCGGAAGTTTGCGAACTCCATAAATGCAGAAGGGAATCAGATCTGTGTGACTGCAAACCTCCGTTCAAACTGTTTTCCTTCCCAACGGAATTGAAAAATAGTGAAAGGTGAAGGTGATGGGCATATTGATACACAGGAAGGACCAAAAAGGAAACATTTGACTGCCTAAATCATCCCGAGTTTGCAGCGAACATTTTGTATGTGGAGCGCCATCAACGCAAAATCCTGATCCCTCACTCAACCTTGGTTACGAATTTAAAAACTCAACGCCAAAGCGAAAGGCACCAGCTGTTCGCCAAGAAACACCCTCCAGACCAAGGAGCGAGCTGTTATTTATTTATTTTATTTTTATTTTTTTTAATCGCTTCTGGTTTATGCAAATGAGCCATGTGGTTTTACGTTTCATTTCTGTAAAACGTAAACAAATGTGCGCAAAGCTGCATTAAACACATTATTACTCTATGAATATTTGAGTCCTTCTCATAGGAATTAAAAAAGTCATGCAAAGATACATTGCTAGGTAAATGCTTTATTAATTCTAATAAATAATAATAATAAATTATAAATAAATAATTGTGTGACTATCTTTTCTCACATAAAAAGATATACCAAAGTACATAGCAGAGTATTACAGAAACAACAGTAAGTACAGAGTTTGGATACTGAGAAAACTCAAATGTTCAGGATGGGGCCTTCACACAATCATTATGTTGTTGTGCCACTGGGCATTACACTGCTCCCATGTTGTCTATGCCATGCCCAATAATGTGTCTCCCCGTGAGCGTCTAAACTCTGTGGTTTGTTCAATATATAAGAGAAAAAGAAATGAAAATTGCATTGTTGCTCTCTGAACTGCCGTTACTGCAGAATTTTTACTTGGATTATCCTGAGTCAGTTTGGTTTTATGTGTAATATTGAAAGTGTAAATTGAAAATATTAAAAGTAAAAAGTTTCAAGGTTCCATCAGCAAACTCTGTGTGAAGTCGACCCAGTGGGCTTTTGGTCTTAGATTTCTATTCAGCGGGAAGATCTCAATTGTAGTTTGAAAAGTCCAAAGTTTCATGTCAAAATTAAGTTGAATATCTCTGTATATTCTATCTGTCTGTGTGTGTGTGTGTGTGTGTGTGTGTGTGCGTGTGTCTCTGTTTTTATGTGTGTGTCTGTGTGAGTGTGTGTCCATGTCTCCGTGTTTGTGTCTGTGTGTCTCTGTGTTTGTCTTTGTGTGTCTCTGTGTGTCTATGTGTGTGTCTGTGTATGGGTCTCTGTGTTTGTGCGTATGTGTGTGTGTGTCTGTGTGTGTTTGTGTCTGTGTGCGTTTGTGTGTGTGTGTGTCTGTGTGCGTTTATGTGTGTGTGTCTGTGTGTGTTTTGTCTCTGTGTTTGTGTCTGTGTGCGTTTGTGTGTGTCTGTGTGTGTCTTTGTCTCTGTCTTGTGTGTGTCTGTGTGCGTTTGTGTGTGTGTCTGTGTGTGTTTTTGTCTCTGTGTTTGTGTCTGTGTATGTGTGCGTTTGTGTGTGTGTATCTCTCTGTGTGTGTCTCTATGAGTGTGTATGTGTGCATTTGTGTGTGTGTATCTCTCTGTGTGTGTCTCTATGAGTGTGTATGTGTGCGTTTGTGTGTGTGTATCTCTCTGTGTGTGTCTCTATGAGTGTGTATGTGTGCGTTTGTGTGTGTGTGTATCTCTGTGTGCGTCTGTGTGTGTGTGTGTGTGTGTGCGTGTGTGTCTGTGTGCGTGTGTCTCTGTGTTTTGTGTGTGTGCTGTGTGTGTCTCTGTTGTGTCTGTGTGTGTGTGTGTCTCTATGTGTGTGCGTGTGTGTGTGTGTTTATTTGTTTATGTGTGTGTGTCATGTGTTGTGTGTGTGTGTGTGTGTGTGTGTGTGCGTGTGTGCCTCTGTGCGTGTGTCTGTGTGCGTGTGTCTCTGTGTTTGTGTGTGTGCATGTGTGTCTCTGTATGTGTCTCTGTGTGTGTGTGCCTCTATGCATGTGTGCGTGTGTGTTTAGTTTAGTTTATTTGTTTATCAGGGACAATGCACATAAAAACATTGAACTACACAAAGAAGTCACATGTTCTTTGTGTGTGTGTGTGTGTGTGTTACAGGTGTTGCTGATGGAGTACCTGGATGTGAAGAACAGTCGCAGTAGCTCAGAGGCCTCAGCACAGCTCTCCTACGCCAGCACCGGCAGTGAGTTCGCCGCTTTCTTCGCTAAGAAGAAGCCACAGCGAGCCAAGCAGTCTCTGTTCAAGTAAGAAATTTTAACTAGGTTTGCTTAAGATGGAGGAGAATATGGTCATACTCTGTATTTTATGATAGTTGACAGAAAACGTAATGTAACAAATTATATAACATTTATCCATTATTATATAAATTTAACTTGTAAAAACAACCATATTTCTGTTCAACTGTAATTATTTTGTGTTGCCCAAATCACGCCAGCAGTCATACAGCTACATATATTTCATATTTCATCTTTAATCAGTCTCCATGGAGATATTGTCTGGAATGTTCCAACGAATGGTGTTAAACTTTAGCCTGATTCATCATATGGTTTCACTTTGTGGAAACCGTCTGACCTCGTAGCGTTAGGATTCGTTCGTTCAATGATAGGCAGGTACTTTTTTAATTTAACCAATCGCTGCTATTTGGTCGTGACATATGTAATGCGCCAAATCCTGTAAGAAGAAGAGCAATAACATCTTTCCCCTTGATAAAATTCCCCAAACATTCTCTTTGTTCTGGCTTTAAATCCTCGATCTTCGGGAATCGTTGCCAACACAGAATGTATGTTTTCGTCTACATCCATCTCAAGCACTTTGTTTACTGTTGTGCTGTACCACAAAAAGGACCCAGACAGGTGCTTGAGTTTGACGTCATGGCTTCACAGCTCTTCGCTGATTTTGCTGGTGCACTTTCTACAATTTCCGGGGTTCTTGTAAACCCTCTAGTGTATTCCGATTCCTGACCTAGTCGCTGGAGAGAAATAAAATTGAGCAGAAGCACTAGGTGGCACCATCCTGGCTAGTTAAACTCAAGCCAAGGTTAAAAAAACAAAAAAAAAAACATCCCTAATTGAATAAATAAATGTAGGTAGATAAGTTAATAAGTTAAGTTAAAGATAAGTTAATGCCATACTGTGGAATATTCCCTCTGCTTAAAAAGTTACATAATGCATTTTTAACTATTTTTTGTTTTATTTGTTTTGATTGCTTTCTAAGAAATTTGCATAATTGCTCTAAACTCCCATTTTTACACTGTAATTAGAGACGCACTGCCCCTATCAAATAAACAAGATAAGATAGAACTTTTTAAACTCACAGCGAGGAAACTCACTCGTCCTTAATACAGAAAAATGCTTTGTCATCTAAATATCTGCACATAATGAACCCTGTTGTTTATCCAATCCAATCCAATCCACTTTATTTTTATAGCACATTTCATAAACAAAACAGTTTCCAAAATGCTGCACAATACAGATAAAACATCCAATAGAAATATAAAATAAAAGCTCTATTTAACGCCACTAGTCCTCGTTATGACAATGAAACTAGTCAAATCGAATAAAGAATATCAATAAATAATAAAAAGGTAAGAAAACATAAATAAATAAAGAGTCACAGAAAAGGTCCCCCTGGTTTTAAGTCTCGTCTTAAGCACCGTGAGCTGGAGTTGGCCCTCTGACCTCAAAGTGCACGCAAGGAAGTAAAATTTAGATAAGATCTGAGATGTAACGTGGGGCCAGTCCGTTCAAAGCCTTAAAAAACAAGATTTTAAGATAAAATCTTAAAATCGACAGTAAAACGAACTAGAAGCCAGTGCAACGACGCTATAATTGGGGTAATGTGCTCTCGGGTTTTGCAGCAGAATTTTTGGACCAACTGTAAGCGGTGAAGTGCCTATTCCATGTCTCTTCTGTCTTTCTCAGGTTCGAGTCCTCCTCCCATGCCATCAGTATGAGTGCCTATCTGAGAGAGCAGAGACGAGAGCTCTACAGCAAGAGTGGAGAGTTACAAGGTGAGGCTGAAACCTGAGGGTCTGAGGGTAGATGAGGCGAGAGACCAGTGAGACGATGACTGTAAAAGAGCCAGAGATGAATGGAAAAAAACAGGCAAAATGATGTGAGATCGGGTCGTCACAAATCATAATATCAACTCTTCGCGTTACTGTTATCGTGAGAAGAAACCATTTTACAATTATTCACGATAATTGACACCAAACCTTAAATCACTTTCATTGACATTGTCTGACTGGTCATCATTTCTTTAGTATGTCACAAAATCTAACTTAATGAATGATTAAAAAAAAAGTTAAAGATACACCACGTAATTTTTCTTGTTGCTGCATGCTTGTCTCATGGTAATGTTATTGCTTTGCTTGCACTGCTCCACATATATATACACAGTGTTGGGGAGTAACAGATTACATGTACCGGAGTTATGTAATCAGAGTACAAATTATGAGTAACTGTATTCAGTTACAGTTACTGTTTCAGTGAGTGGTAATTGGATTACAGTTACTTTGTTGAAATAAATGGATTACACGGCGGTATTTTCCTGTTTTCACATTTTGGGCTATATCCCCTTTTTTTTTTTTTCTTTTTTTTCTTTTTTTTCCGGTAATTCCACTCATTGCCAGAAACTAAACCAGGTCTAAACCAGGTCTAAACTAGATCTAAACCAGGTCTAAACCAGGTCTAAACCAGGACTAAACCAGGACTAAAACCAGGTCAAAACCAGGACTAAACCAGGCCTAAACCAGGTCTACTAAACCAGGACTAAACCAGGACTAAACCAGGACTAAACCAGGTCTAAACCAGGTCTAAACCAGGACTAAACCAAGACTAAACCAGGTCTAAAACAGGATTTAACAGGACTAAATCATGCTGCGTGGATGTGTTTCCTCGTCTTCTATCAATAATATTTTTAATTTGTTTAAGTAAAGTCTGGGCTTTTTATTTTCTTTTATCAGACAAAACATCTTATGTGAAGATTTCCTCGTCTTTGCTTCTCTACAGCAAATCAAGTAATCCAAACTATTCAGATTACATTACTCACTTTAAGTAATTTAATGGATTACGTTACAAACTACATTTTGGGGTATGTAATCTGTAATCTGTAGGGGAATACGTTTTAAAAGGAACCTTCCCAACACTGTATATCCGTAAACTTAAAAATCTATCTTTTCCCCCCCATTACGGGGCTTAAATCTGCTTGAAAAACATGCATATTTTCTACGAGCAGGGTATCTTCTCCACAGATCTGACCTGTAATTTAGCCTCTTGATGCCACCTGCTTGTCACCACTGAGATGAATAAGTTTAACATCATACTGTGGAACATCCTAATCAAAGCAATAACATCTCCATGGAAACAAGAAGGTGGCGTACGCTCTTCCACCAGAAGAGTTTCGATACAGATGAATGTGACATAAACAGCCAGATAAAGCAGTGTTTCCCAAAGACTGGGTCGCAAGAGATTTAGAAACATTTTTTTTTAGGATTTTTTAGGTCTGCAGTAAACAGATAAATACACCGTGTGCCCCCTGCTTCTCACTTTTTCGGCAGCATCGCCTTGTCTAACTAATTTTCTGTGGGAAACACTGATTACTGTTTTTCATTGTTTAAAACTTAGTAATATTAATTGTTCAGAGAGACACCATCACTCATTCAACAATAAAATATCCTCAATAATGTTCAACAAATATATTCTGTGATTTACAAATAATGTCTATTGACTTGGGTCGTGAAAATTTGAGATTTTTAAAATAAAAGATTGGGAAACACTGAGATGAAGCACTTAACATTTAGGTAACTTTTTTGGAGAGGAGATTTAACTAAAATGTTTTGGTTCTAACAATTATATTGTGACCTGCAATGGCAAAGGAGAAATTCTATGTTATTAGGTTATTTTTTCAGACCTGGAGTTTTGTTTCATACCCGACAGTTTCGACTGCTCACTAGCGGTCTTCCTCAAAGTGATCACGTGATGTCGCTGTGACGTGTCTAGTAGTAGTAGTGAGCAGTCGAAACTGTCGGGTATGAAACAAAACTCTAGGTCTGAAAAAATAACCAAATAACATAAAATATCAGAAGATCAAATGAACCTCATTGGACTAAAGGAGACATTCAATTTGTCAACTGGACAAACGTTTGTTTAGGTTGAAAACTGCTTCACAGCTCATCCAAGCTACTTCTTCAGTTTTGGTCAGATGCTTGTGAACACTTCCGTATATCTGCCTGCATGGAGGAGCTAACTACACTGAAACTCCTCCCTCCTCCTGCTCCTTTGTACGTTTGTCCAGTTGACAAATTGAGTTTCTCCTTTGCCATGTATTCTACCTAGACGAGTGAGGGACCTAGACACATGTGACCTGCATTATCACAATCCCCAATTAACCAAATACAGCAATCTTGACATCTCTCGCACTGTGCAAGGAGATTATTTGTCGCTGTACCTGAGCAACATGGAGGGTAGAATGTGAGAAAAATGCTATAAAAGAGGTGTGACAATAGGTGCTGCAGAGGTAACACAGGAGAGGAACACGGCAGGTCAAGAAGTTACACTGGAAAAAAAGTCTTAGGTGTGAAGAGGGAACAACCGCAATGGGAAAATACAACGACAAGAGGGAGAGAGAGACTGTACAGCGTGTCTAAAGGGACCTGCCTTGAGAAGCACGAGACTCTGGGGTGATATGGGGATAGAGATCGAATTGTGATCTGATCTTGTGGTAATTAGGGCCTGGAATCACAGGCTCCTTCATGATTAGATACGATACCTGATTAATAACTCGCGATATGCTATGACCACGATATGACAAAACATGTGATAATCAATATATTGCACATAATATATTGACTATGCACATTTTAGCAGCAATATTTCTCTACTCCTCTACTTGTGCGAAGTTAATATGAAATGCATGTGTTTTTAATCATCAAAACAGTGAATATATTAAGTGTATTGCATGAACAAGTTTCCTTCCACTAAATAAGCAACAATATTGTAGTTCAGTCACAAAAATAATGCTAAAATATAACAATAAACACTCAGTTATCAATACAACCTGATAACGATATGAATGCGAATGATAAAAATACTGTACACTGGAAAAAGTGATTGTTTAGACAAAAAAATACTGTCTTGACTCACTAAAAGCAATAGTTTTAGGTTACTTTTACAGTGAAATAAATCACCGTATCAGTGTATCGGAAACGATTTGCTTCCAGACACGTTGTTTTTGAGTTCGCACTTGGCTGGTGTCACTTCATCACAACATCACAACGTCACGTGGGCGGTAAAAACAATGAACTGTCTTCACCGTATCTGAAGTTGCAGCAGCCGATTTCGAGTGGAGGAAGATGGCAAGCGTGAAGACAGTCTTTACTTTACTTACTTTACAGTTACTGAATGTTTCCCGTTTGTCTATGGTTTGTTTAAACTATTTTCCGCAATAGCGTCACATGACCGATGTCACGAACCCAGCGAATCAGGAAGGCGGAAGTCACAGTGATGTAATCGGCAACTAGAGCTCCTACATCAGTGTATCAGCGTTTTCAGGCGTCCACACGGTGCCGGATCAGATCAGTACTCAGATGAATTCGTGGGAGCTGTCAGCACCAGATCGTTTCGTCTCTGGAGCCGTTTTCCATCGGATTAGTGTGGAAGAACACTGCATCCACAACGAAAATGACTCAAATATATACTAGTGTGGATGGGGCCTTAGTGAAATGTATCCAGTGTCAGAAGCTGAGATTTGGGCCCAATTTGAAAGGTAGTAGTAGCTGATCACAACTTGATATTCTTGACATCATAATACATCAAACTCAAAAATCAGATCAGCAACTTTGTAGAGATTGATGGTCTCCAAGTTGTTGTTTTTTTTTATCTTGCTACTAGAAGACGGCGATAAATAGTTTACAATATGATACTGAAATTGGAGATTTTATGATCATCTTCTTCTTGTTTGATTTTACAGCACAATAGAGTCACTGTGACACCTGAATATCAACCAAGACATGCACCTTTTATGTTGTTTTCATATTTCTGATCGATTGCAGAAAATATGACTCAGTTTATCAGTGAGGTAATCCCAAAAAAATCTTTAGTTGATCTTTATAGTCAATTTTTTATTCACCACTTTTCTTACAAAACACACTTGACACTTGCTTTGTATAGTACGCAGTGTTGGGAAGGTTACTTTTAAAATGTATTCCCCTACAGATTACAGATTACACACACCAAAATGTAGTTTGTAACATAATCCATTAAATTACTTAAAGTGAGTAACGTAATCTGAATACTTTGGATTACTTGATATTGTCATGCTTTTTAGTTTAGTTCTGGTTTTAGTCCTGGTTTAGTTCTAGTTTATTCCTAGTTTAGTTCTAGTTTAGTCCTAGTTTAGTTTTAGTTTATTCCTAGTTTAGTTTTGGTTTTAATCCTGGTTTAGTCTGAGTTTAGTTCTGGTTTTAGTCCTGGTTTAGTACTAGTTTAGTTTTGGTTTTAGTCCTGGTTTATTTCTGGTTTAGTTCTGGTTTTAGTCCTGGTTTAGTCCTAGTTTAGTTCTGGTTTTAGTGCTGGTTTAGTTCTAGTTTAGTCCTAGTTTAGTTCTGGTTTAGGTCCTGGTTTAGTTCTAGTTTAGTCCTAGTTTAGTTCTAGTTTAGTCCTGGTTTTAGTCCTGGTTTAGACCTAGTTTAGTTTTAGTTTTAGTCCTGGTTTAGTCCTAGTTTAGTTCCAGTTTAGTCCTAGTTTAGTTTTACTTTAGTCCTAGTTTAGTTTTGGTTTTAATCCTGGTTTAGTCCTAGTTTAGTATGAGTTTAGTTCTGGTTTTAGTCCTGGTTTAGTACTAGTTTAGTTTTGGTTTTAGTCCTGGTTTAGTCCTAGTTTAGTCCTGGTTTATTTCTGGTTTAGTTCTGGTTTTAGTCCTGGTTTAGTCCTAGTTTAGTTCTGGTTTTAGTGCTTGTTTAGTTCTAGTTTAGTCCTAGTTTAGTTCTGGTTTAGGTCCTGGTTTAGTTCT